GCTGCTCCTCCAAAACCAGAGAGGGGGTTTAATGGCTGAGCCTTGCTCCCCTACAAGGTCCCAGTTCAGCCCACGTGCCAGAGGCTCCGTTTGGGCAGGGAGATGGTTTTTAGAGATTTTTTTCCCCCTGCCATCCCTCCATCGGATCCTGTGGGAAAGCAGCCAAACCTCAGCTGCTCGTGACCACTTCCAGGTCTTTAGGGCTGGGAAAGTGCAAGATCCTCACAGATTTGGGGGGTTTAGGCTTGTCGGAGTGGGGCAGTTCTGGGGGGGCGGCAGGACTGGGGAGGTTTTGCTCCCAGGGCAAAAAAAAGGCGGCTCTGCCCGGGGAGAGGTGCAGCCTGGGGAAGAGCCTGGGGTGCCGCTGGTCCGCTCCCCCCCGCCCCTGAGGTTGACAGGACAAGACCTGGGTGAGGGAAGGGTCAGGGAGTTGAAGAAGCGACAAACTCACTGCGAAGCAAGGCAGTCTTTTGCTGGGGGAGGTCCAGACCCTAGGGACACCTCTGCTGAGCTCTCTGAGCAATGACCAGTTTCACGGACTCACAGAATCACAGAATCATTTAGGTTGGAAAAGACCTTTAAGTTCATCGAGTCCAACCGTAAACCTAACACTGCCAACTCCACCACTAAGCCATGTCCCTAAGTGCCACATCTACACGTCTTTTAAATACCTTCAGGGCTGGTGACCAACCACTGTCCAATGCTTGACAACCCTTTTGGGAAGAAAGGTGAAAAAATTATTCCTAATATCCAATCTAAACCTCCCCTGGCACAACTTGAGGCTGTTTCCTCTCATCCTACCTACTTCTTGGGAGAAGAGACTGACCCCCACCTCGCTCCAACCTCCTTTCAGGTAGTTGTAGAGCGCGATGAGGTCTCCCCTCAGCCTCCTCTTCTCCAGGCTAAACAACCCCAGTTCCCTCAGCCGCTCCTCATCAGACGTGCTCCAGGCCCTTCACCAGCTTCGTTGCTCTTCTTTGGACACAAAGTTTGCACCAGTATAGCCCAGTGTCCACCAACAACTGTGACCAGCCCATGGGAGACATCTCCTTCCCAGCCCAGCCATTCATCTTTACTCCCACTTTGCATCACGCGGCAGACGGCCCGTGCCCCGTGCTGCTGGGGGCTCTGGGGACACAGGGACCAGCGCTCGAAAGCGCAGCTCCCGTGGGGTGACACATCACCGCTGTCCTTGGCTCGCCGGTGCCTCTCGTTCCTGCTGGGTTTTGGTGCAACCATGGCAGTTTGGCTTCTAAAAGCTTTTACCGAGGGGCTTTTGAAGGCCAGATAACATTATACTGAGGACTGTACGGGTGTTTGCGGGGCCGGGGTGCACATTGCCCTGGAGCAGTGAGGACAGGGGCTGTGCGGTGACACCTCTCGCCTTCACACCTCAGAGATGCCCTCAGTCTCTTTTTGCGGGAGAGGTTTGGCAGAGGTGTGCCATGGGCTGGGGGTTTCTGGAGCCCTGTGGGGCACCCCGCGTGTGACCCAACACACGAAGGATGGGATACCCCATACGGGACACCCCACCTGAAGGACGTGGGGGATCCTTCATAGGGCACCCCAGGTGGGACACAGCACAATGGGACACCCTGCACGGGGTACAGCATGTGGGGCACCCCACATAGGGCACAGCAGACGGGGCCGCTGCATGGGGTACCCCACATAAGGCACAACACGTGGGGCATGCTGCGAGGGACCAGCTGGGCACAGTGTGTCTCACCCTGGCTCTCCTCTTGCAGGTCTGGTTCCAGAACCGAAGAGCCAAGTGGAGGCGGCAGGAGAAGATGGAGGCCAGCTCCATGAAGCTCCACGACACCCCCGTGCTCTCCTTCAACCGGCCCCCCATGACACCCAATGTGGGGCCCATGAGCAACTCCCTCCCACTCGACCCGTGGCTGACGTCCCCCATCTCCAGCGCCACCACGGTCCACAGCATCCC